TTGAAAATGAGTTTTGAAAAACGAATTTAAAAAAAAAAGTCTCAAACGACCCTTAAATGTATATATTACTTAGCTCTTGTTTGATTCCTATTATTTCTAAAATACATTTTTCCCAATCTTCTTTTCAAACTACACATTCTTCAATAAAATAATATTACACGCAAACTTTAAAAAAATCTTTATTTATTAAACACACATTATCCATCAATCTAATATTCAAAAATGCATTCTTACCATAAAATGGGGCTCAAACAAGCTCTTAATAATATAATAACATAAAATTATTCCATTTTACTGATTGAATAAAATGTCATGAAACAATTTTTCTCAAAATTATAATCCAAACGTATTTTCCAGTTTTCTGTTTTAAGAAACAGTTTTTCAAAATGATAAACCAAACGCGTTTCTATTAATTTTAAAATAGACGCTCAAAATAGAAAACCGAGAATGATCTCAAAACTCAAAACTGAAAACCGAAACACAAACCAAACAGACCCTTACTTTCTTCATAATCAGAAGAAAAGTGGCCGCTAGCAAGTGAACAAACTTTTGTTGATTTTGCTACATTGTAATAAAGAAATAGATTGCACCACATTTTTACTCTGGATTAAATTCGTGAGAAGATAATTACCAGATTTCCGAGTTACAGTGTCAAGTTGCATCCTCCTGACCTTGATATATTGGAAGGGCAAAAGATGGTACAGAGGTTGCCGGTGAGTGAACAAGCTGGTAATTAATGAGAACAGGACCGAAAATGTTGAACTTCTTGGCGCTACTGAACGCGACTTCTGCATCAGAACCCCTCTTAAAGATAACTTTAGCACATCCAGAATCACGATCAACTTCAGTCTTTGATTCCATCAATGGCCCAAAACGCTTGAAGATTCTTGTCAGATTGATTTCTGATGGAAGAGAATCTCTCTCTGCAAAGTTTAGTACAAGTTCCGCGGGCAAAGACTCTTGCTTCCTCTTATTAACATACTCGTTTGATTCCTCTGGTGCATTTACATGGTTCCGACTGGAATATCGCTTTCGAGAGTGCAATCTGCGACCCGAGTTCTGATATTTTTCAAGATCATATTGCACTGGCGGATACTGTCCTCCCCCATTCTCCCTAGCCTGCAAAAGTTGCTCCCCAGAATAGTTTTGGACAATCCTGTCTGTCCAATAAGAGTCATTCGCATCATCAAATTCAAATTCTCCAGTCCCGTCAGCTGCAGCAGAAGCCTTTTTCTTTCTACCTCGCCGATTCAAAGCAATTGAACTTCTAAAACCAGTAAAGAAAGTAATGTTTGATCTTAAATGGCTATGACCTTTCTTGGGATCCTGAGCCGCCAGTTTAAGTTGTGATAGCATCTCGTCTAGAGAAAAAAGTTCCGCAGGAACAACCATACTTCCCTCTTCATGGTGTTCGTTGATCTGTGGGCCACCATCGATTCTTGTTTGATCAATGTTGCCTTTTGAACTTGACAATGTGGGCGCATTCAATTGGCTTGCTACTCTACGCATGCATTCACCAATTTTAAATGAAGGCTTAGGTGTTGGAGATATAGTAGTATATACTTTTGCAGCATGAACTATTACACCAGGATCTGATCCATCAGCAAGAGAATCGGGTGTTTTCCGTTTCCTGCCAGAAGACGAGGAAACTGACTTGCTTGAATCTTTCACATCCGACTCACCATCACCATCTGGTGAATAATCCATGTAACCCATTATTTCTTTGAAGCTTCTCTCCTTCTTCCTTGGTTGCAAGCTATCTATCGGAGTGTCTTTCCGTTTATGAGAAGCAGCCTTGCCCAAGGAATCATCCAATGCATCACTCGATTGTGTGAGCACGTCATTTTCTAACAATTCTCCAGAGAAGAAAAATTCAATCTGTGTACGCAGACCCTTAAAACGACTATATGCCAACAACTGAGATCGGGCAATCACAAGATCCAGTCGAACTGCCCCATGAGATGCTGACGGTGCCAATTCCCTCACATAGTCCAAAAGTTTGGTGGGCTCAAAGGAAGTTGCTTTTGTAGATCGATCCACACCATATCTTCTACTCGATTCTTCACGTATACCAGTATTCTCTACAGTCTGGATACCAATCTTATCAAGAGCTTCTTGAGGTATGCAAGGACAGGCCAAACCCAACTCTACCCGTCTAGAAACCTCTTCCAAGGCACACTCAACTGCATTTTGAAAAGCTTCTGAATTGCTCTGCTTCTCAATCTGGGAAAAATGTGACCTAAAAGGCTTCAATACGGATACATCATTCCATGCAAAGGTTCGATCTCCAAAATAAGCTACCAAAAAGCAGTCTTTCTTGTAATATTTCATTGCCTTCTCTGAAGCATCTACAAGATCAAAAATCTGTCCAGGCCACCAGGGATGGCTTTTGACTTTACCCCAGACTAGATCATATACAGAAAGCTGTCCTTCATTTTCTGGAAGCCATAGATAACGAGATCGTTTCGAGCTTACAGATGACAACGGTTCGTCATTTGATATTTTTGATTGATCAGTCTCAGAAGAATGTTCTTCAATTCCTATTATTGGCTCCTTACTATCATCGTCCTCCACTTGATGATATTTGTCATCGTCTTCTCTTTCCTGCTGCTCATCCATAAATTTTGGTTCAGAAGCATGACCCAGCACACTGTCATTGCCTCTTATCATTCCAGATCCATCTTCTGCTTCAATAGCCTGCTTAACCCCTTCAGTAGAAACCACATTGGATACGTAATTCGCCTCAGTGTGATTTCCATCCACCAGATAAATGTCATCAGTGGCTATGGGCATCTCCAACAGTTCATTTGCCTCCGGAAAGAGGCAGCCGGATTTACTCTGGCCATATAAAGAAGAGGGACCAACTGCAACTTCTAATCCAGTCATAACGGCATCATCAGAAACAACCTCTATGCTAGTCCCTTCATTTGATATAGCATTATTGACTACAGGATTCTTGATCTCATCCTTATCAAGCCCATGGGTTATCTGTTCAGTTATTTGGACAGTATCCTCTTGTTTCCCATCTTGATTAGATCTATTCTCTTCAACAAAGTTGCCAATCCCAACTTCAGCACCAAAAGCAGAATCAATCACCATAACATCATCATCTGCCATTTGCACAGGAGTTGTCTCTATCTTTGACTCTTTGCCTTTAGTGTAAAGATACGTATTCTCGGCAGGAGTACCAGATGTGAGAATTTTAACAGTACCCGGACGCTCGTGTAGAGATTGTAATGGAACTTCAGTAAAGATCTCCTTCTCATCGTTTTGGAGAAATGCATCTCTGTTCAAAACTTCTTCGTCAGAGTTTGCAACTTTTAGGTCATTTATCACTCCAACCTCTGCTGTGGCAACCAGATGCTGGTCTGTATACATTCCTGAATCAGCTTGTACTATATCTTCATCTCTTGGAAGAGTCAGTTTTGTTGTATTTGAGACATTTAGCTTTAATCCCGTCGAGATATCCTGATTATTTTTCGTATCTGCTAGACCTTTAACCTCGAGGAGCTCGTCTTCATTTATCACAGTATTATTACCTCCATCAGCTGATTCTGTTAGTTCATTGCAAGACACTTTGTTTCTGTGTTCCATGTCGTTTTCAAAGTTTCCATCACTCTTCAAGATCTTGTCATTGCAAGGGCATGGCAAGTCAATACTTATTCCTTCATCTTTGACACCCTGCACCCCATCAACTTCCATAGTCGTAACTTCCTCTCTTTCACTAACAAAAGATTGTTTGTGAATAGAATCTGAATCAGCATAAGGAACGCTGTTATTTCCACGTGCTGTCCCGGAGTTCATGCTATCAAAATCTTTCAAACCCAGATTCTCATCCTTAGAATCAGAGACTAATACATCCGGTTTAAGAATCGAGTCCTCATTTAATCTGTCAATAACAGCACCAACCACAAATGTGCCTGTGGATAAAATATCTTCACCTGAAACTTTTGTTCCATGATCTGAAGCTAAAATATTGCAACTCAATTCCATTTGGGTATTTTCGACAAGGGGCTCTGAAGCAGTATGAGCTAAACCAATTTCTCCAACATTCTTATTGATCCCATCAAATCGAACTATATTGGGAAATTCACAATTTGTGTTCAGGGAAGCTTCAATAGGTGCAACTTCACTATCAGCAGCTGCATCAGTCGTCTCGTGTAAGGGTACAGAATCCATAACCAATGCATCATCACTTGCAACATTATAAGTTAAGTGCAACGTCTCTTCTTGGTGTACCATGACATCTTCCTCCACAACAGCAACTTCTGCAGGACGGTCCAAAATTTCTGGAGTTACGTTATTTGTACTATCTTCATCTTTACTAACCCTTTCTTCTCTAGCCATAACAGCAGCTTTCTCCATAACAACTTCATTCACAGGACTCAAGGCCTCGTGATCTCCTGGTGATCCCAATCCAGAAACTGCACGGGTCCCACCATCAACAGACTCGCCAACCTTAAACTCTACTTTTTCTGCAATGTGCCAAGGTCCACTCAGTGCTGTCTCTTCCCTCTCAATTTCCTCGACCTTATTTTCAGCCCCTTCAGTTGAAGCATTTGTAACCTCTCGAAAATCTTGTGTCACAGCTTCATTTCTGTTATCCGGTGTATGACCACTCAACTCTCCAACTTCTCCTGACCCCAAATCACCCTCTTTAAGATCACTGACTCCATCAACAAACACATCAGACCTCACAACTTCAACCATTATCTCCCCTCCATCTCCATCTCCATCTCCATCTCCCTCGTTATAAGACTCGTCAATTTGACTATCACGTGCAAAACTTTCCATTAGGATTTCATTTGGCACATTTATGGTCACGGTGGGCTTAGTCACAGGACCCACATCTCCGTGCTCATCATCCATAGTCACCAAATCTGAATCAAAATTTCAACTTCGTAAACCAAAAAAGGCTTAATCTTGACAAGAATCTGAGCCAATTACCATAAACCCTCGCAAAAAAAAAGAACGTAAATATACCATACGCGTATTCAAGAAAGTAGCTAGGCATACATATTGAGCGAACAATCTTGAAAATCCATATAGTTAACTTAAGAATTAAAGTGAAAAAGAGTACCTAGAGCGCTGTTTTCAGGACTGCGAGCTGGGATTTACAAGGTTTGATTCAGTGACGGAGTTGAAAGTATTATTTCGGTAATGTTCGAACTCGAAGAGTGTATGAGTTACGACTATAACAGACTCGTGTTTGTGTCAGACAAAGGAATGAAAACGGAAGTGAATTCGCGTTCTCAGTTTTTGGGATTGTTCCAACCTTTTTTTTTTTAGCAATTGAGTTTTCAAAATTAAACTTTCAGAGCAAATTGATCCTTAGGTAATTTTTCGTCTAAAATAACGGTTAAGTTTATTTAAAATAATTTTAATTTCATTTTGTAATCGTACTATTCGAACAATCTTTGTTGACAACATCCTTTCTTTGGCGTGATTATTTATTTCCCTTCTTTGTAGGTCAGTAGACATTGAACATAAGGTATCAATGGCGGATCATGTTTTATCAGAAAAAAAAAAAATGTTGTTACACTTTGGTAATTCAATTTTAACATAAACAAGGTTAAAAAGGTCAAAATATAAAATAAATTAAAACGTGACACTCTATCCCTTGTAGCTCTATTATATTCGGCCTCGAGTTTCTTTCTTATTCATAAATTTTAGTGGAGAATAAGTTCACTCGACTTCTAACAAATATACTTGACTATTGATTGAGCGTACTTCTACAACACATTTTTGAAGTATATAACTACATTAATCCCTACACTTTTGCTGGATTGTTGATAAGTTGCCTTGTTCAACATATTAACGGTGTGTTTAATCCACATTATTTTGGAAGAATGTATTCTGAAATAGTAGATTGATGGAGAATTTGTGGTTAAAAAGAAGAAAAAATTATTGATGTAATGAAAAATATTATTTTATTGAAGAATGTGCGGTTGAAAATGAGTAGAAGAATGAAAATGAAAATTTTAATGTGTACCAAACATGGGCTAAAAGACTAATTTTTTTCTTTTATTTTAATTATTTTAAGGGATAAATAGGATAAAAATGTAAAGTTACAATCTTACATTTTTTTTTAATTTGGTCAAATTCTACTATTTTTAGTCAACTAACGATCGTTTCCATCAATTTGTATCCCAGATGCATATTTTTTAAAAATTATGGACCTTCGTTGGCACAAATTGAAAATTAAGGTAAAGTTTACAAAAATTAAAAAGGTTAGGAACCGCTGCTGTAATTTTCCCTTAATATTTTTACTCAATTTCAATTGCCCCGCTCAATTATGATTTTATTAGGATTTAAAAGTATAACCTCGAGAGTCTAGATCTATCATTCCAACTTGATTGTCCTCTTAAACGTCTCACCGCTAAAATATTTAAACATCACAAAATTTTTGAGATGTCAAAATTTGAGTGGATATACAAACTTTTTTTTTATACATTATATATATATTATTTATTTATTTATTTATCTTTTTGCCCCTTTTTCATAGATATATTATGCCCCCGTTTGATAAAAATTAAAATTTATATTTTTATCCAAGTCAAAGTTAATAATTAGTTTTAACCACATATTTCATTCGATCTACACATTTCATCAATTTTTATCGAAACTAATAAGATTTGATTTTAATCTTCACGAATGATGTGTTATCAATCAGGCAAGTGTTTCTTGGCATAGGCAAATCTCTTAAAAAGTGAAATCACATCCCGTAGCAGCACAGGTAGCATTGAGGAACGAGGGCTACTACGTTGGATAAATTTTCAGGTCGTAAATCATTCCTTGCGTTGTCTTGTAGACACCCACTTATTTTTTGTAGCGGGGGAATCGTACAAGTTTATGACTTGGCTAGCGTCGACCTAAATCCATCATCGACGCCAAGCATCTAATCTTCTTGTTGCAATCAACTTAACATAATCTAAATAAGTAGAACAGAGTTTAAAATTTCGTAATACAATGGACGTAAAACTTCGTTTATTGTCAATTGCTTGAGTTAAAGATTAAGGCGTGGAAGGCATCTCATAAAATATGAGTAACCATTACATGAAAAATGTTACAAAATAATTGAGGTTAGACATCGGTAATGAATAAATTTAACTAATTTTGATCCCTAAAATAATAACCAAAAAAAAAAAAAAACGAAAAAGCCACTGCAGATTATCTGATAATATTTTTTTCTTCTGAGCAGCGATCACTCTCTCTTGTTATTGCCATTTTTTAAAGCTTCATCCAACTGCCGCCTGCGCCCCATATAATTATTCCACAGCCAAGCAAACTGTACATAGAATGTAGAGACAACATGTTACAGCTCAGAAAAGTACCACTTGGAATTAAATTACTAATCTTAAATTTTTCTAACTTCTTAATCTCTGATGATACCATACCACACCCCCACATGCTCATGCTCATGTCACTTTGTAGCTTTGCATGTGATGCAAAGATTCTTGTAGTTATCAGAAATCTATTTGTGCATCGTAGAGATTGATATTTCTCGGGCCAATACTCGAAAAGATTCTTCTTGGTATAGAAAGAGTATGATATAATTGGGATCCGTGCACTAAAGAGCGTGATCTTGGGATGAAATGACAAAATTATAAGGACGACGAGCGATGTAGATAATCAAAAGAAGATAAATTATGTAAAAAAATGAAATTTTGCTCTTTGACCATGTGGATCTGGGTGGGAACATTTGTTTTTCTGACTATCTAGTAACTTCATTGAAATATTGAGGTTATTTACCTGAATGAGGAGCAGCAAGAGATGGGGGCTTTGAAATCAAGGCCGGAACTGTCGGAATTGGGCCAGCTGAAGTTGGTGAGTAAATGTGGGCTGGAAGGCCCATTGCGTGTGACTGATGAAAGTGGTAGAGAGGGTACATAGGCATCACTGCATTTGAGTTCATCATGGGCTGTGCTGGATATACTTGAGAAAAATGCCCATGTTTCTGCACAAAAACAAAATTAAAAAAAAAAAAATCTTTTAAAGATTTATATTCACAAATTTATTCACCTTAATGCACATTGATCATATCAAGATCGATTGTGTTACATGTATATAATCATTTACATACACATGATGGGGTGAAATACATGATGTGGTAAAATATCATTGTGTTAGAATTCTTCAATCCAATAAAAAAAAATTTTACGACTCTCCTTTTGACACCTCATTTATATGTAAATCATTACGTAACTCTCGATTTGTCAAAAAAGAAATAACAATTTATGAATGCGAATTTACTTACATGATTGTAATTCATGTATGTGGCAATATATGTTGGAGAATACCTGAAAAGGAGTAAAAGTACTGTAAATTGAAGGTGTAGGATAATTGTGTGGACCATCAAATCATATTATGACAGCACATGAATACCCATAAACAGGAAAAGCTTGATGGTGCTGCTGGTGATGAAACGGGAGAGGAGTAGGTGCTCCAGCTGGATGGTACCATTGCACGTGATTCGCAGGTGCTGTTGAAGTAGCCCTTGGTCCAACATTAACCCCTTCAATTTTGGTGAAGATTATTCTTAATTCTCCATTAATTTTATTTTTCCAAAAATAATACCATTATAATTTGTTAACTGCTAAAAAAATGATAATTTTGGCAATGATTTTCTTGTAGTCACTATTATATTTATGGAAATAATAAAGTAAAAAGAAATTTTAAATCTTAATTCAAGTTACCTTGCTGGGGAGGCTTCGCAGAGGCGGACCTAGGGCGGCGGGCACCAAGCGCCGCCAGATTGCAGTTGGCACGACGGCCGTTGATGATCGGCGTGGCATCCTCACAAGCCTTTCTAGCCGCCTCGACATCCTTAAAAGTAACCTATATATAGGAGAATAACATTTCAAAAATATGAAGAGAATAAAGAAAAGTTATGATCCAGTACTACTGGTATGCATAGACCAGATTACTACTTACAAAACCATAGCCCTTGGATCTGCCGGTGACCTTGTCGGAGATGATAACAGCCTCCAAAATCTCACCATATTTGTCAAAGTG